TTGAATTTGAAAGGATTGTAACGTGGTGGCTAGATAGCCCAAAGTGTTCTCTACAATTCTACGCAAGACCGACCTCTCTATCTGTTGTGGTTCTAGAATAGCAGGCATTTCCTCAAGAGAAATGGTAACGAATTACGGGTGACTCCAGAAAATGCCTGCTAATCGCGAACCTTAATAGATACAGAGGTTGGCCTTGCGCAGAATAGTAGAAAACACTTTGGGCTATCTAGTCACCAAGTTATAATTAAAAATCCATCTCGGGTTCAAAATCTGGCAATCTCATTGCTTTTCATCCGTCAGGTACACCACCTGAAAAACCAAGGTTTTTAGCACCAAATATATGTGAAGATAGAATAAAGCCTTTTCTACAGAATGCTGAAAATCGAACTCTCAATCTCTTTCCGTTCTCGAGTTATTTAAAAAACATCCATGACCGCTGTATTGAGAAACCATAGTAGAAACCCCGTTTGCCTACAGAAATAACTGCTTATGCGTAACATTTTCGAAAAGATAAACACATTTCGCAAATTTAGTTCATTTTCAATTTTGGATGAAAATCTCGGTAACTTTTCAATGTGAATATTCGAAAAACACCAGAGTAGTCGGATGAGACAGAAATACATATCAATCGACTGAGTTTTTGATCCTGATTGCATAAAAGCTGAGTTCTGATCCAGAAAACTGAGAATTACGGACAGAATTCCTAGTTTTTAGTCTGATTTTCAATACAAATTCGACAGAAAAGAAAAAAGCTTTTTATTTCAATATATAACTTGTTCTTTGTTTTGCGACGGTTCTAATGGCGCAAGAATCAAGGGTCCAGCGCTTAAACTTGATGACTTGGTTCCTTTTTGAGGAAGGAGGCTCCTTTTTGAGCACGTCTTGAAAATTAATTTTTTTGAATCCCGAAACGCTTATCGCGACTCGAGAACCTTGAAATACATCTTTCTATAGTGGCTATCATCCGCTGCTTCCGAAAATAACATTCGGAAGGTTCCTCGGCCTTGTCGAACTGAGATAGAGCATATTTATGAAAAAGTGGAGATTTTTCGAAAAAACACCTCTTTTCAGTTTTTGGATTTTTTTGTCAAAAACGCGCACTGAAATTTTTTTAATATGATATTCGTATACAGCTTCAAATTCTGCGTCGAATGATGTGTTTTTGAGGCAAAAATAATATCTTGCTTGATCTTTGAATTAGCGAAGCCTTATGTGCTTGTGATAAATAATATAAAAAGAGTGAGAAACGGTGATTGCAAATAATTCATATGTCTAGTTTCCACATCGATGTCGTAATTCAATCTGATAAATGTAGAGTCAAACTTCTGTCGATTAAACTTTTTTCTTTGTTTTCCCAGCAGTTTTTGCCAACTTCTTTTTTGGTAGTTCGACGGGAGCCATCAGTAGTTTCATTAAATCTAAAGACAAGAAGTAATCATTGTTGACTACTATTATTCAGCAGCTGAGAACTTATGCTGTTCATATTACCATCATATAGAAAATAACCATCTGTACAACAAACTGTGGATAACATGAAATCAATTTCTTCGTCTGGCCAGTCACAATTTTTCAATAATGATTTAAACTCGTCGACAAATAATTTACTTTTCTTATCCGGATCCAGTATATCAAATGCTTCTTGTAATTGTTCTTTATCTTCTTCGATCGGTTGCCAATATTCATGAACAATATTAAGAAAATCACTTGCGTATAACTTATCATCAGGTTCTGAAGGAAAAAACGAGATCATGTCATTTGCATAAATCAAAAGTCAACTATTACCTGCAGGATTCTCTTCGTTCTCATTTGGACGTTTAAAATTTTTTGCTTTTTCGATCATATTATTGATAGTATCTGCAGTCGGATTTTGACCAGCATGTCGAAATGCGTCGCCCATTTCTGCGATATGAATATAATCATTCTTTTTAGCAATCTTTTTAAAACCAAATTTTAATACTAAAACAAAAAGATCATAATGTTTACTCTGCCTGAGATGTCTTTTAGTGAATCGAGATTGTTCGTCTGTCAGAAAATTTATTCCTTTTAGAATGTTACTTTTTGTTTCTATGTTAATCCTTGAAAAAAAATACGTACATTCACGTGTATTCTCATCCAACAATTGTTCAAAATCAATCGAAGAATCTATTCTCGGTGTATTTTCCAAAAATTTTGTCGTGTTATTCAATGGTGTGGACATAGTTTGTTCAAGTGCGCTACCTGAGAGACGAGGTGTAGCTGTTCCATCAAGAGCCATTTTAGATGAAAAAAATTGTTAGATTAAATTGTTGAGAAGGAGTGAAACGTGTTTCTGTAATAATCACAGTAACGATAAATATTTTTTTGCCAATTTTCCCTTCTTTTTATCTTTATCGTTCTACAAACGTTGTTAAGGCAGTGTAATGAACGCATAGAAGAAAGCATGACGATAAAGAAAAATTTTTTTTTCATCTTTCTTACTAAAGCAAAAGTCTTTTTGTAGTACAAATTGACACAACAACCAGACTGATCTCAACGTTTCGGTATTTCTCACGAGAGAAAGTCTCCAACTGTCGGTGCGATTTTAATCCTATCTTTTGGCAACATGAAGACCTCAATGAGACTAGAAAAAGATAAAAATATTTCATGTCCACCGTGCTTACTTGTCGAGATATCGAGTGGTTATTCTCTGCATAACAAAAACTGGTATTTTACGGATTTTTCCGTGTTTGTGAAAGCTTCAAACTTGAGCTACCATTTTACTTGTAATAATAACATTAAACATTAAACATAAAATAAGAAACAACATTAGCTAAAGCTATGTGAATAATATATCGAAGAACACAGAGACACAAACGCTAATTTGTAAGCAATTGGCCGTAAGATACTAAAGCAAGTGATCGTCTTTTCATGCATAACATTAATTTTTTATATAATCATCTCTTGCACTTGATTTGCCATTAATTTTTGCAGTTTTATTCTTGATTTCTAATCTTCACGAGAAAAGGCAATATTCAGTGAGGATGTGAAGGTTGAGTCTTCAAGGGTGGATGGAATAAGTCATTTGATTAATTTTATTTTTTTTATCTTTGGCACTATCACTAGAGTGCCCTCTGTGGCGCTGAGTGGGGTCAAGAAATGATTTTTGTTGAGTAATACCTCATTTAATTTCACTTTTAGCGTCGCCAGGAAAACTGGAGAGGGGTATTTTCAAATTTGTTAACTTTTTAATCCGGGAAGTTGGTAGAATATAGGATAAACTTGCAGTGAGCACTGCTTCTTTCGAACATAGAATACGTGCGTGCATTTCGCTGAAAATATAAATTTTTTCCTTTTCTTATTTTGTTCTTTGAAGCAAAATAACGTAATACACACATATATACAACGACGAGGAATATAAAGGGAGCAAGAAAAGTGAGAAAAGGAAGAAAAATAAGAGCAAAGAAAAGAAAAAAAGACGCAGTATGTTTTATGTGTACAGTTGAATATAGTGTAATATACCGTGAAAACCTAAGTGCGGTCTAAAGACTCCAAAAATTGGAAATACTCCGACGAGATCTTTTTGCGCCGTACAACGTAACTCGTCACGCTGATTGCGAATATGTAAAAATCTCGAGGTACGCTTTTCTAGAAAAACACCATCAAATTTTGATATCTGTTGCTTATTCTAACCATATACTTGCATAAAATTAACTTTTTATTTTCAACCTTTTTTAGCAACTATTTGTCTCAAAGGGTACAATGACTACGTAATTCACTTATAAACATAAAATCACTCACAATTCAAAACAACCAAAACCTTAAGCTTGATAAACTTCGATGAGAACTAGGAAAACGATTTCCTAAAAGTGTGAAAAATATAACTGTGAAGCCAAATTAAACAAATACTCAGATTTAGCTGGTATACAATTTATTGACATAATTCTGAGAAACTTCCATATTAAATAATGATAATAATTTAAGAGCCATGTTTTCTGATATTCTTCATTATAAAGTTTTAGAGACAAGAAAAGATAAAAACTCGAAGTTGTTGAAAAAATTTTATCATAAAATACAAATAGTGAAAGAATGACAGTCTCAATAAAGAAATCCGACTGTGTTACGTCATTCTCATGACTGAACGGTTCAATCTAAGATCAAGTCGAACTCTCCAGCTTTTAAAATACCCGAGAAATTTGGAAAACGATGTTGGCTGCCAAATGAAAATGCACATTTGAGATATGTGCTATACCGCTAGTGCATCGCACCTCTTCTTTTTGGCTTTCCATCTCTTATAACTTTTGAATCAAACGTTGCTTAAAGCTGGAAGACGTAATATACACATGTTTTTCGATATTTGTTAAATTTTATCGTGAAGCGTATCTTTTATTAAAATTTAAAAGGTATATTCGGACAGTGCGTGGTAAACTGCGTTGATTCCTGTATCTTAGGAGTTTGTCGCAGTTAAGCATGCAGTGTTAAGCATTACTCACTCAACCGGACAAAGAAAACGACTAATTCATAACGAATTTTCCCATTCTTTTCGATAATGCAATAAGAAAGCAAAAAAAAAAACCTTTAAATCTCAACTCTACCTGCACTGAATAGTGTACATATTTTTATGTATAGAAAACATACTTTAATTGATAAAAAAACTTTGATATAGAAGTTTAAACACGAAGTTAAAACTGAAATTTGTCGTCGCAAGATATCATTTGAAAAAAAATCTCATGGTTCAACAAAATATCTTAAAGGTTTCTAACCATGATATTCGTCATCAGCATACTTGATACATACTTGCGTTGAAATGTGAAAACAGAATTTTCAATTTTCCTGTGGATACCCCTAGCAGTATCTTTTTACAGTTTTGTTCAGAACTGAATGCTGATTTCAAACCTGCTTAAATTTCTCAAAAAAATTGTCGTCAGTAAACGGTCTTACCGTGACTACCCCTTTATTTATCTTGTGAACTTCTTGAAAGAAATAAAGTTTTTATTTATTTCGAAATCAAAATAACGAACTATTAGTAAAAAGATAAAACCAAAATAATGTATGCTCCTCTAAAAATTTAGTCTAAATAAAATAAGAGTATTTTGAATGTTCAAACAGAGGCTGTACGTCTTAATTTCACTCTTTTCCGACGTATTTTAAATAATTGCTTCTCGCTTAGTTGTCCAAAAATAACATTTAATTCTTCTTGTATTTCATTATAGAAAGACTTCAATGTTGTAATCAGATCGGACTTATTGTTGTCAAGTGAAACGTTTTGTCTAGCGATTTTACTTTTCTTTAAGGGAAGATCTTCTATAAGAACAAAATCGTGGTCATCCATAGTATGTTGACGTTTCGGATCAAGAGAACTATAAGGATACCCTTCGGTTTTATTTGACCATAAATTTGAATGTTTTTTAGGATTTTCCTTATTTTCATCATCATACACTTTATTACTTGAACTAGTAGCATAATCCCTATCTGTTGGTGTTTGATCTTGTTTTATTTGATTGACAACATTCTAAATACAGGTGATGGTGGATAAAATTGAAATATTTAAACAAATCATAAACTTAATACAACAGAACGTTGCAAAATCTGCAAGAATTATGGATGAACAAGTGTCTCGTGAATTACATGATAGCACGGTAATCAATGTCATCGTACCATCTCTAGATGGTACTATGAACCTACCTATTGGCCAAACTCGAGTTCTTGGAACCTCAAAAATACATAGTACATAGACTATCGGACACGCTCATTACTGCGGCAATGTTTGTTTTGTTTTGCGGGCAAAGGGAACTGCAAAAGACAGTTTTTTCACTGTGATCATACTAAAATTAAACCCTTATACTGTCTAAACTAACATTAATTTCCAAACAACAAATTGCTTCAGATTTTCAGAATAAACTTAGTTTCTAGTGTATCATCACATCAAAGGAACCGAAGTGCAGAAAACTAAATGGTACCTTTGAAAGATTTTTCAGAAGATCACTGATGATCTTCGCATGAAATATCAGTAGGAAAACAAATTTTAACCTTCTTAAACTGTACAGTAGGTGAACTAAGCGGGTTTTGAAATTTGAAGCAATTTGGTTTAGAAATTAGGACAGTATAAGGGTATTATTTTAGTATGGTCACAGTGTAAAAACCGTCTTTTGCAGTTCCCTTTGCCCGCACAACAAAACAAACATTGCCGCAGTAATTAGCGTGTCCGATAGTCTATGTACTATGTATCTTTGAGATTCCAAGAGCTCAAGTTTAGCCTATAGGTAGGTCATTGGAGACTACCTGTAGTAACCATGGTAGATGAAGGTATGGGATTTGCGTCACGTTGTGGAGTGACATCTGTTCTATACCCATATGTATTTAGAACAATATCCCACAAAGTAGATTTTTGGAATGACAGGCTCGGACATTTTGCTTCGAAAGGTACACCACGGTACATTTGCTGAATCATTATAGCATAGCTTTATGAACCCAGGTACCCTCTTTCATAATCTGAAAACTACAGCTCGCTAGCTCATTCCTTCCTCGAGTTATTCAAAAAACAATGGACTACCTTCTTTCTATTTTGAAATAGATAGTAGCTCGAACTGCTGGCACATGTGGTCTGATGTTCAACTGTGTAGTTTCTTATTTCTCCTTTAGATAGTCGGGGTAAAGATACTCAAAAATTTGACTAGATACACCCCTAACACACGTCCATTCGCTCACTTTTCAGTTCCGCTCTTGATAAGTTTTCGATAGTGTAGTCCACTTTTAGTATGCGATAGTTTCGATGAACTGTAGTTGCAAAACGTTAAAGTTGTGGAACTGTTACAGTTAACAACCGAAACTGTCGAGAAAAGTCAAGCATCCTAAGCGAGTACAGGCCTAGAAATATATAATTTTCATCACTGAGCATGCAAGTTTTCAGTTTTAAGAATATGTTTAAATGCAAGAAAGCAAAGAACGACGAAAGAATGAAAACATCGGCTGCGTATGAACATACTACTATCCATTTCAAAATAGAATGGCCGTAGTGTTTTTCTTTTCTTTTCTTTCGTTGTATGTGACTACTTTCTGATCATCTGTGTTTGTTGACTGTCGTTGCTGCTGATGGCGTTAAATGAGATAAATACTTGAAAATTTATCTTTACATGATCACTCTTATCATGCAACCGAGCGGTCGTTTTTCTGACGGCTACGACGCTTTTCGGTTATTAACAGTTTGAAAGTTTTGCAGCTACAATTAATTGCTGATTCTACTGAGCCTATGTGCGCCGCACCGCAGTTTAGCTGGATATGGTAATACACGACACTTGGCTAAACGTACTTCATCTGCTTATAACCATTATAACCTGTTTCTTCAACGGCCAATAGCGAGTGTTCCAGAATAAACTGTAATAAGTTCTAGTTCATTTTTCTCTCACTTCCTACTAGGAAAATTCGTAAAAGGTTTCATTTATATGTCAAAAGATACAGAATTTTCAGCTCTACAAAAATTGTTGATTTTGTTTTTCAAACAAGTTTTCCTTGTCGGTACAAAGCTCAAAAGATTTACATCTAACCACTCATTCAACTGCGACGGTTAAAAAAACGAAAAAATGATGAAATTTGTTAATAAAGATTCGGCTGAAATTTCAAATATGTCACAAAATTCTCCGTAAAATTCGGCATCTCTGGATGCATGTTTCAAACTTTTAGAAGAAATATTTAGGAGAAACAATTTTGAGGTAAAAAATGTGACAACACCGAAAAAAACCCTTTTCTGATAAACTTATGCCATTATTGTTTTTTAATTCAAAACAACCTAAATGTTTTCGCTGTCAAATTTTACAGCTACAGCATTTTGTTCAGAATTAAATCCTACATAGGCATGCACCAATACAATATATGGGTTATCTAATGTATTACAACCAATAATATTGACCATCCCAATATATTGGGTTTTCACAATATTATCTGGGTATTGGGTCGCATGAGTTCTGCCTACTTTTACAGTACAGAGGCATACTTTATATCCCGTTTTGAATCAAACTACTTAGGTCAATCCAAAAGTAGTTGCGGAGGTATGATAATCCTTCGAAGGAGGGTTCGATAGTTTTTTTTCTATACAGTCTGATAGAGAAAAGAAAGCTCTATTTTTCTATGCTATTTGATCATACTTCAACTAATATCATAATAATAAACTTTCGATAAAACTTGTTTCGTTAGGATATGTGCTAGTTATAC